GGCATAAAATATTATGCAGCTATACTTTGAAACTTTGCTATACATTCAACAAATACAAATTTGTTGGGTTGCCAAAATAATGACGTAATAATGTCGTTTTTTAACGTTAAAAAATACGTCAAAAAACGACATCATTACGTCATTATTTTTGCACCAACCCAATACTAAAGTAAAAGAAAAATTACCATTGAACTATAAACACCCACAATTATAGAAGAAAAGTATAAATTTCACGGAAACCGTTGACGCGAATATCGAAATGCGAACGCCCCTCTCCTTACATTCATAGAATGTACATCACCAGAGCTAAATACAGTTTTCCTTCTCGTAGTCCGGTTGCCATCTGAGGTTATAGAATATGGTCTGTTCTACTATTTACGTATATCTAAGTGGGGGAGATATGGATCCATACCTTTTCCGAAGTGTATTATCACGTAAGTGAATGTAATGTACTTGACTGTAATTAGAACTCGGTTCTCCGATTGCTCAGGCTGAGCCGCAATCCATTACTCTACCGTGCCCCCAGAAGCGGGGCAGTCTACAAAATAACGTAATAACCGAAGCTGAGATACGAACCAAAGGGGAATCTGAAAAAAAAATCATCATGGGATACAAGAAAGTCCCTGGAAGCAAATTGAAGTAAGCTCTGTTCCATCTTCAAACGAAATTTTCTTTGGAATACTTTAATTCAATTTAATTCAAATAATTATATTGAAGTTTTTTCGGCCTTGTTTGAAACATGAGAACTCTTATGTAGCGTATTGGAATCATATTTTAAATAAATAACTATATTTATGCTCTACTTTTGTATCGAGCACTATTTTTTAAAATAATGACAAAATACTAAAGAACTTTGGATTATTTCCCTAACGAGTTCTTTCCTATTTTCTATATATTTTTCACACACACACACACACGCGCACACACACACACACACACACACACACACACACACACACACACATATATATATATATATATATATATATATATATATATATATACTCGTTTCTAAGTTTGCTCACCTGCTAGGATAGCTAGGTAATCTATTGTTGTAGATACCTGCCGAAGCAGGGAATATACCTGGCCTTAATACTGCCATAATTCTGACGTGTTAAACTGTTGAAAAAATTCAGTAGGCTTTAGGTTCTCAGCCATGATGACTCGCAAAAACGACGAAGAATTTCTTTTATCCAGTGTTTACCATAAATTTATTTGCCTCCTCTTTATTTTTTTTCAGGCACTTCCCAAACATTCCTAAAGATGCGATCATCTGCCTAAAACGATATCATTCAATTTTCCTGTTGGGATACAAACCTGTGAATTTTGCGTATATATAGAAGGAGATGTGGAAAGACAAATTTTTTTTGCTGGTGATGAAATTGTTAACCAACACGTTTATTTCTTTCTCTATTGAATTTCCATAGATACATAAAACTATTTAAATTTCCTAGGATGAACCTATTTTAATATTCATCGCCGCATGATGAAATATAACGCATTAGGAGGCGCGGTGGATTAATGAATAGCGACTCAGATTGTGGACTCGGAGAACCGAGTTCGAATTCCAGTCAAATCCATGACATACACTTACATGCTAATACCCTTGGGAAAAGTATGAATCCTCTTCTCCGTCCAGCTATGGGTAAATAGCAGGACAGGCCGCGTTCTGTAGCCTTGGACGGCAACTTGTCTATGGTAGAAAGAAATGCTAACCTACTGCGAGAAAAAAAAATCTGCCTCGTCAGTCATATATCGAGAGATACATGATCGCCTAACGTGTATCACGCATGGTACATAACTAACTGAATTATACACAACAAAATATTTATTTATCAAACATAATTTCAATGCACGTAGTCACAGACCAGGTCCAGCATTTGTTCCATTCATGAAAGTCTTCGCTCTCAATGGGGCTCCTTGCTTTTTATATCAGTTGGGGCTGAAAAGGTCTATTTCCCCCACCATCGCTAAAGATGGTGGGGGGAAAAGTCGGCTCCTTGTCCCATTGCAAAAATAACCGACTGTCAGATCAGATTCAAATAGAGGATTACAACCTCGTCAGCTAGATCTGCCCATTTCTCATATTTCAACGTCTGCATTCAAACGCGTCTACGCGGTTTTGTGGGCTATGGGTTATTTCCAATTCAACAGTAACTTTTTTTTTATTCTATCGCTGTTTTCTTGGGTAATTTCTTGACGAACTACATTCCTAAATTCCACCTGTCCAGGTTTTTAAAGATAAAATAGCAATGCCACACACACAGGGTTGAATCATCGTCATTCCCTTTTAATTATATTGCTGAGATTTCCACATATTATAAAAGGTAATTAATTTTTTCTAATGTTTTTCGATGTTAAATATTCTCGATATGAGACATTCTATTCTTAGTGTGTTAGTGGCCCAAATGTCTTTCTTGAACTGGCAATGAATAGTTCTGGGTGAAGAGTTATTCTTATTAATATGTGTAAATCTCCACGGTTTGCCTGATGAAGGTTG